TGTGATCGGAGTCATTCGTCTAAATAGACATGTCTGGGATAACAAATAACTTGAGAAAAGAATTCATCAGTGGAAAGATAAGGGATAAAAATATGATTACATAATTTTGTAAATTTGTTTGCAAGTTTTTTTTTCACAATCATCACTATCCCATTGTACTTATTCTGGACACCACAAATGTATACTCATTCTGTGTGTGTGTGTGTGAACAGTGCCCTTCTCCCAGTGAGAATTGTTCCCTGAAACTTCTAAATTCTAAATAATGACAGGAAAGTAAAGTAGGTTCAGATGGGTAATAGCTGGGAAGACTAAGAAACAGGGTAAATAAAGATGAATATGGCCAATGTCATTCATTTGCATGTATGAAAATAGAACAATGAAATCTATTGAAATTGTCTAAGGAGGAGGAGTGGAATGGAGGAGCATGACAGAGTGGGTAAGATTGATCATAATATATTTTATACATATGTAGAAATATCACAATGAACCTCTTTGTATAACTGGTTTATGCTAATAAAAAAAGCATATACAAAGTCTTGTAAACTGCTACATTTTGAGACTAATTTCCAAATTTTATCAAGTTTAAAACATTATTTTGAAACATTTGTTTAAGGGGAAAATATCCTAGTCAGCCTAAACTTCTAAATACATTTTTAAATATAAAATTGTGTAAGGAACAGTGTATAAAGAACACAAGTCCAATAAATTGCTTTGTATTTTCTCAAAACTGAACAAGATAAATTATGATTAAACAGTAAAATTTAAATATCTGTAGTTAAATTTAATTTGAAGTATATAAAAAAGTAAATCAGTAAACTGCCTAATTGTCTCTATATAAAATCAGTACACTAATTCATTTAATGGTTTCCCCTTTGAACAACTACTTAAAAATAGGAAAATTAAAATTATTTAAAAGTAAAACATACTAATTAAATGCTTATAATGCATTACTTAACTATCTTTAAAATTCTAGAAAAAATATTGATTTCAATTGGATAATTAACAAGTGAACTAACAAGAAATGGAAATGTCATCAATAGGCATGAGGTTGATTATATTATTATTATAGTATATAGTAAAATAGTATTTATTAATTACTTCTATAATATTATTAGCTCAGGAGAATGATCATATTGAAGTTGATTCAACCATACTTTAAAAGCTAGTCACTCATATTCTGGTCGTCTGAGCTACAAAGTCTTTGAGTTCTCTACAATTTATAAGATGAGCCACAAAGTCTTCTAATACTCTACAAAAATCTATAGGCTACAATGCAAGACTGATGTAGTGCCATGATGGCTAAGTAATAATTCTGTTTCATTTAAATAAATATAACTTTTGCAACCAGTGAGGACCACAGTGTTTGAGTAAAAGTGTGGTGGCTGTAATTCTATGAAGGAAAGTTAAAAATCAGGGCTTGTGAGGCTGTAACTTTCAAATATGTATGTTTGCTCTTTGACAATGTGATGAGTGGTATCTCCTGATACATTGAAAAGCAATCTAACAACGATGAAGTGAAGTTATCCTATCCATATATGATAAATCTATTCTAAATAAACATTTATTTGTCCCATGTAAAATGCTATGCTCTTCTTTCTACTGTTTTGTAAACCTAGTGTTCCGAACTCACTCTGTTCAGAACCTGCTTCTTCTACTCCTTCCTTCCCTCAGCACCTTGAAGCCTTTCCTACAATTTCCTCAAGGGAATTGCTCTGACACTGCAATTAGATCAGGCTCCCCTGTTACAAACTCCCAAGCACTTTGCTTTCTCAGCATGAATCCGCTTTTTAATAAACATTTCATTGAGTGAATAATGTTTACTCCAGCCACATCTTGCCCTGGAAGGTACAGTAGGAAGACCAAGGTTTGAGGCTGGGGGCCTAATCACCAACCCTTCTAAAAACAATTGGGATCTTATCTGAATAACAAACTAAAGCAAGAAAAGGCTAAAGGCATGGCTCAAGTAGTAGAGCCTAACAAGTTCCAGACTCTGAGATCAATCCCCAGAACTGCTGAAAGAGGAAAAAAATAGAGAAAATATTATGTATTCTCTTTAGTTTATTCAACAGCACAGGACAAGCTTCTTGGGGATATGTTTTCAACCTTATCCCATGCTTGTCACAGTGCTTTCTGTGGAGAATACTCACTAAGCATTTATTTAATTAGTGTCTGAGTGTTGTGAATGATCTATTACTTAACGGATGCTTCTACACTTAGTATCTTTTGTCACACCTGAAAGCCCATTGTACCATTGTTCTTAGAGAAGTGGATGTTTTATTTTTCTTCTATGAAAAATAATCAAAAGAAAAAATAATTTTTAGGAACAGATTTAAAAATAAGTATTTCATTGGAATCAACACAATTTGAACTGTCTATATGCTTATATTTATCAAATGAATATTGAGCACTGGTTTCTGTCTCTGTGAAGCCCTCCTCCTTCCTGTTTTCCTGCCAGTCTCTGACTCTCAGAGAAAGGTGCCTTCACCTCAATGGCTACCACCTCTTCCTGACTTATAACAACTTTAAGTTATACTGTCTCCTTTGTAATGCAATATATATCATGTTTTTGTGCTCAGACTCTTCCCCACCAGCCTTTTTATACTGTTTTCGAGTTTATCTTTCTCATACAGAGTTACACTGACAGTTTCTGAAATATATAGGAATCTTTTAAAGCCTCACTTAAAATGACATCTAAACATCTTTCAAAACATAGTATTTTTTTATTCTATGACTTTAATACATATTTTTTCACAAGGCATCTCTGTTAGGTTGGCATTCTATTGGTATAACAAAAAAACATTATAAAACAAAATACCCCAAAGTATAATAGTTTATTTGAAACCTAGTTTTGAAGACTACTTGTCTAATTTCATACCCCACCTCTTTAGTCTCTGTGAGGACCCACTCACTACATTGCAAGGTGGCGATGTGGGCAGAAGCAACCAATAGTATGAGGTAGTCTTTCTTTACTCAATCTACTCTGTTCTTGAGCAACTTTTCTAATGGGACAAAGGGAGAATTAATGCAGCAGTGACACTCACTAGAAACTATGTTCTAAATGAACTATACAATTTGTGCAGAGAGGGTTCTGGAGGGAAACAAACACTGGGAGAAAATGAGGGAAGAGGTGACACTGTTCAAAAAGAAATGTACTTATTACCTGACTGATGTAACTATATCCCCCTCTATACATCGCCTTGATAATAAAAGTACATTTTTAAAAAAAGAAAAAATAACAAGTTCTAGAAATCCCATGAGATACATTAATCTAATGATGGTCTGGTCAGTTTCCCTAAACTGTATCTTCTAAAGGTTCCATCAAGTCCAATCAACTCCACATGGAGGATCCACTTTCTAGTAAAAAAAAAAAATAATAATAACCACTGCGAGACCCAGGTTGCCCATATCCTACCCATACTAGAGGCACAAAGCCGGACTACTTTCTCATTCTTCATCAAGCACAATTAATTTTCCTACTGTTTCTTTGTTAACTTATCTTTCAATTCATGCTCTCCTCCAATCTGACTTCTCTCGTCTCTCTTTTTTGAATAGTTAACTTTATATTTTCCTTTTGGTACAGGTCCAGATTTTTATTATAGCTGTTCATGTATTTGTCTTACTACTTATTTATTTTTTATTGTCCATCTATCTCTGCCAGGTTTTGTAAGATGTGAAGCACTAATAGCATAGAACCTTTCTACATAATGAATTCTCTGGATGTAGAGAGTTGCCAAAGTATCAGGAGAGTCATAGTGAAATCAAAATTGTTGATCTTCTCTGCAGAACAAACCTGGCCTTCAGATGCCCTCTTGAGAATTTCCCAAAGACCTACTAACAGCGGCTGTGAGAGGACAATGATGCTTTGTTATTAACCTCCTCTCAAATCCCTGCTCTGTGGTGGAGGAAAACGCCTTTGAAGATTATCAGACTGGAGAAATATAGGTGATTTGAGCACTACCATTTAGTTGACTTGCATTCTCTGTAAGATAAATGGTCTGGATCAAGTCTTTTTGAGTTTTTTCTACCCCTGGAGCTTAATGATTTTTCAATACATCTTGTTAGAGTCTTGAAGAAGGAGAGCTCTGAATCAGTATGCTAAATAGCATAGAATTGACAAAGAGAAAGCACATTAAGCAGACAGAAAATGTGTTTCTCTATTATAGAAATTTCCAAAAGAAAGAGATCTTCCATCACACAAGTTCTGTCATAGCTTTTAAATATCTTTGTGTCACCAGGTCAGTACCCCTGCCATCTCATTTAGATATGTTCCCTATGTGTTAGGACCTCTCACAAAACTGCTGATACTTAAACACCTATAGACACAAAAGAGGGTATTCACATAATCTGAATGGATGTGGTTAGTGTTTCCTATTTTTTAAAAATTAGCCATTCGTGAAACTTCATTTTCAAGGTAGCATGTGAATATTCAAATGCTGTAATCTAGATGTAGAAATATTTTATTGTTTTGTTCTTATTCTATGGCTGTATTTAAATATCCACTTAAGGAAATTAAACCATACAGACTTAATCAGGTTCATTTTCTCAAAGGAAGAAAATCAGAATTCAGAATGCTTTATGCAAGCTCCAGCGGCTATAATCCAGATGAAGTCAAATGACAAGCACTGTGTTTTTCATTCCACATTCAACCCATAATTCCTCATGGAAAAATCAGTACCTCCACATGCTAGTTCAGAGGTCCACTTTTAGAAGGATAATTTTCTTGTACTCTGTCATCGATTCATACATACGCAAAAGGGTCTTTAAACTATTTCTAAGTATTAAAAATAAATTTTTTGCTTAAACATTTTATTTTGTGAATCATACATATTACTATGAGGAAACTGTACTATTAGTTTCTATAATATAATGGAAACTATAAAGAAAAATACAATTGTAAAACAGTAAAGTTGTTATTAAGTTGTGCATAGAACCAGTAATTGTGTCTTTAAGGCAAGTAAAAGATTTATTGAGTCTTGGTTAAAAGTAGATTGACAATGACATTAAAGAATAGAGTGTAATTTATTTGGTGCTACTTTGTAAATTCCTCAACATACAAATCATCTCACAATACCATATACAATATACTTTCGATCACAACCGAAACGTAAAATAACTTGCAAATATCACATGGCTAGAACCAATATACAAGGATTATATTTTTTAAAAGAAAGCAAGAAATCTAGCTATTAAGTTAAGGTGCAGCAACTTTTCTTGAATAAAATATTAGCACCAGACCAGCTAAAATGATCTAAAACTATCAGCCTTCTCCATTCTTCTTAAATAACTAAATATAAACATGTCTTTCTCCGAGCACAAATATTAAATTTGCAAAAAAATCAGTTCTATAGTAGTTAATATGTTTTTCTTGTTTTTTTTTCTTTCCTTTTGCATGTTTTTTTTTTTCCTGTAAGGAAAACTACGAAGTAAAAACTTTCACCCCATAGGAAAACCAAACAAATGAACAAGGCTGATGATGCCAAGTCCAGTCCTCGGTTAGCAATGCGTTCCGACAGAAGCGAAGGTGGACATCTCCCGGCGGATGGTGCTGAAGGGCGACAGCTCGAGCTCCGTGGTGTACTCGTTGTCGTTGTCATCGCTGGTCACCGTGGACGATTTCTGAATGCACGCTTCGCAGCAACAGCAGCAGCACTCCATGAAGGCCCTGCTGAAGGGCTTGCAGAGACAGAAGAGGAGCACGGGGGTGACGCAGGACTTGAAGAACAAAAGGAACTGGCTGATGATGTTGAGAAGGTCCATGGTCTGCTGAGAGACCCCCGTCGCCATGTAGGCCGTGACGATGTTGCAGATATTCTCAGGAATGATGCAAAACCCATACAGAATGGTCAGGGCCACCACTGTGCAGTTCATCTGGCTTTCCAGCTGGATCTGCCTCTTATTCCCGCGGGTACTGGCTTTCTCCGCCTGACGGATCTTCCTGGCAGTCACTAAAGAGCAGGTGATGGTGAACAGGGTGGGTAAACAGAAGTAGCAACCAAAATACCACCAGAGCCTGGCGCTGTCGTAGGTGAGGGCCAGGACATAGATGGTATCCGGTAAATCGGGAGAGATCTTTATAATGCACCGTTCTGCGGGAGCTCGGCCACTGAACCCCAAATCTTCCTTGCTCAGCTGGCGGAGGACGACTTCTGGGAGAGCCAACAGCAGAGCGCCAACCCATATAACAGCCAGTTTGGCGGTGGTTGAGGAACAATTTTCAATCATTTCGTAGTACATCTGTACGTTGGTGGCGGCACGGAAGCGGTCTATGCACAGCGCACACAGGGTGAAGGTGGTGACACCCAGAGAAGCCACCTGGGGAAGACATGAGAGAGATTTACTTTGGGGTTCCCTCAAAGCTGAGAGCACTGGGAAATACATACCTACCAGGGAGGGAGAAGAGAAGTGAGGCGAGGAAGAAGGCGAGGGAGGAAGGGAGAGAAGGAGGGGGAAGGATTTGAGATGCTCTTCTTAAATGAATCATGGTAAACAGATTTACAGAAAAAGAATTGTAAAGCTTTGGGTGTTTTGCCTGGTGGTGTAGACAAAAAGAAAGGAAAGGGAAAGAAAGAGAAGAGAGAGGAAATGTATAAAACAAAGAAAAAAACAAAGAAAGGATGAAAGAAAAAGAAAAGAAGGGAAAGGAAAAGGGAAGAAGGAAGGAAGGAAGGAAGAAGGGAGGGATGGAGGGAGGGAAGGGAGTAGATAGAGCCATAGATAGAGCCATAAAGAATGGACAAGAAATGTACTCATTGCCTTACTCATGTAACTGTAACCCCTCTATATAGCATCTTTACAATAACATAAAATTTAAAAAAGAATGGAAAGATCAAGTCCAGTGTTAATTACACATAAAATAGAATTCCATGATCATATTTTCAAATAATTTGCATTACATACAGCAAGCTCTCAAAAGCTTATTGCTAGAAATAATATCAAGAAAGAAAAAACCTTGTGTCCTTATCTTGGGGTTCATTTCACCTAACATCATCTTATCTGACCTTTTCTGCTTGTCTCAGACATATACTAGTTATTGGAAATAAGGGAAACCATGGGACCTATGTTTCTTAGGGCCTGGCTTACTTCGCTTAATATAATTTGGGGAAGGGAAAAATTGTTTAAATAGGAATACAGGTGGGCCCATTGCAACAATGAGGTATGAGATGTACAAAATGCTATGTTGAAAAACGAACTTTACAATTTAGGTTGGGGGGAGTGTAGTCAAGGAGGTGGGAGGGAACGGGTGGTAGGGGAAAAATAGAGGAGGAGGCAACAATGCTTGATAAGAAATGCACTCATTACCTTGCTCATGTAATTCTAACCCTCTGTGCTGTATTTTCACAATTAAAAACTTATTGTTTTTAAAAAAGCTTATTGATCCCAGCAAGCTTGATGATTAGAACTCATCCTCAATTTTTTTTGTAAATGCAAAACAAAGCTTTTAAATATTGCTTGCAAAGGCATTCATTTATAGAAAATAAGAACGAAATTTTCCAGTGGCAAAGAAATCCATGAGAAAACAAATTCTAAGCAAGTTAATACCCTATCCTACTACTCTCTGTGTGGTGTGTGTGTGTGTGTGTGTGTGTGTGTGTGTGTGTGTGTGTGTGATCTTACTGGGCATTTTCACTGGTACTCTACCATTTATGCCATCCCCCTCGTCCAACTTTTTGGGTGGATAATTGAATAGAGAATATTTTTGATGTTTCTGTCTGGGATTGCTTCAAACTGAGTGAGGTCTTCAGATAGATTCCACCTTCCTATATAGTTAGGATTACAGACTTACAGACCGGAGCCACTGGTGCCCCATGTCAAGTTAGTTTTAGCCACAGAATTGGTACAGGTTCCCAGGTCCCCAGAAGTAGGAGACAAAACCAGCACCAAAGTGGAAGTAACTAGGGCAGAGATTTCCTTTTGAAATTGGAATTCCCCTAATTCTTATGTCTTCAGGGGTGTAAAAAGAAAGAAAAAATGGGGAAAACAATGAAAGTTGCCTACATTGTAGTAGCCAGAGAGAATAGAGAGGGAAGGAGAAAAAAATAGCCAATTGTAAGAGCCTGAACTAACATGACACTAGGACTAGAATTCACACTATCTCTGTAGAAAAACAAAAAGCCATTTAAACCACATTTATGTTTGTCTAGTGGAGGCAAAAAAGACAAAAAGTCCTCTCTGGAAGAATACACTTCATAACCAGGACTCAGAGAAATCCCACTGATGAAATTCAAGTGAAAATAAGTTCAAAGAATAAAGAATAAATCATAATATAGGAGAGATAATCAACCTCAATAGAATGTTATGCCAAAGGATATAATGTAGAGAAACAGACATCACATGTAATCATGGATTACATGTTTATCAAATTTAAAGATACATGAGCTACTAGAATAAAGTGTCTAAAATAGTATATACAAGTAACCATAAAAATGGGCATAAAGAAACTAGCTAGCATATTTAGATATCTTAGCTGCAGGAAAATTTTAGATCAAAAAATATTCTTACAACCTACCCAAGCTGGGCGCCAGTGGCTCACACCTATAATCCTAGCTATTCACAAGACTGAGATCTAAGCATCCTGGTTCAAGGCCAGCTGGGGCAAGGACATCTGGGAGACTCCAATTAACCTCCAAAAAGCTAGAAGTGGAGCTATGGCTAAGTGGTAGAGCACTAGCCTTGAGAGAAAATAAATAAATAAATAACCTCAGGGATAGCGCCCAGTCCCTAAGTTCAAGCCTCAGAATTCTCCTCTCTCTCTGTTTCTGTCTCTGTGTTTCTCTCTCTCTGTCTCTCTGTCTCTGTCTCTGTCTCTGTCTCTGTCTGTCTCTCTCTCTCTCTCTCTCTCTCTCTCTCTCTCTCTCTCACACACACACACACACACACACACAGCATATCGAAAAGGCACTGATCCAGAAACCTAAAAAAAAAATCAACAATTAAGTCAATGAACAATTACTTGTTTCTCAACCACCAGCACCACCCCAAAAATAGAGTCCTACTTTTTCCACTCAGAGGGTTCCCCTGACATGTCCCTAATGTGGACACACTATTAATTAAATATTAACTGAGCACCACCAATTCTCTCACAAGGCACACAGAAACATACCTGACACAAACATATTTGCTGATGTGAGATTTATACCAGGCACTTAGCTCAATACTGGAGAGAGAAAGATGGATAAAATATGGACCATTCCTTTCTAGAGATCATCACATACCACTGAGAGTTGAGTAGTTCTCAAAGTCAAAGATAAATACAGTAATCATCTGAGAGCATCAAATCTACTCAGGTATTTCAGGGGAAATTTAAGCAATTTAGTGTGGAGTAAATGCAGTCATTATTTATATACTTGAGCAAGGCCAATGCATAGACTGTAAAATGTCAGTGAGGTTTCAGATAAAATATGATTTTTAAAAGAAATTCTCTTGGTGAAGAAAAGACTTTGAGTTTTGTCCTGCCCAAATCTGTGTATGCTACTTTCCTCTCCCATGCTCGCATATGGGAATGTATAAGAAACATCGTAATAAGAGCCTCCCTTGTCAACAGAGTAAGGAAATAAATACGCATAATGTCAGTATCTAACTTTTTAGAGTCTGATGGGACCATGGTGACAAAAGGAAAACCATTTGTCAGGCGATTTTAATACTTTAAGCACATGTTGTTTATCTACTGCAGTCAAGCTGTCACTGTCCCCAGAGCTATGGCAACTTGCTGTGTGGGTTCTGAGAGTTCTAATGGCAAATACTCTCTCCTCCTCCCACACACGACACATCACACAGTGTCTCCTAGTTCTAGTGTGGAAATGAGGATGTACCAGCCAGGATGTGACCAGACCTGTAGCAATGAGTGGAGACCGTCTGTAAAGAGGCACAGAAAGGTTTTAATTACAGAAAAAGCAAAACTGAAGAAAAATGTGATGAATACAGCTCTAAATCATTGCAAATGAACAGATCATGGTCGAGCTGCACGCACAATTCTTACTCTCCAAATTGCTCAGAACATGAGACAAAACCATGAACAAAGCCACCAACCTCAGCTGGATGGGGTAGCAAGCCATCTTGACACACACTTCGTAAAAATCAACTTTCTAATTAATGGATCGTTCATAACCATGGGATTGTTTGCATCCGTTCTCAGAACCTCAAACAATTCCAAATATGAAGGCTAACATGGCACAATTTCCTTCCAATCCTATGCTTTGTCATACCATTTGTGACCTTCCTTATGGAATGTTGGAAGGGTGCCGATTATCTGAAGATCTATGTCAAGCAGTAGCATGTAAAAATAACAATAGTTCATCTTATAGATTTTTTTAGTTGTTAACTTTCTATGTAAGTTTTTCATTTATTTTGATTCCTTTTAAGATGTGAGACAAAAAAAATACCTCAAACGATCTGATGCATACAATCTTCAGAAAACATTTCAAGTTTTTACGAAGGCAAATCTCTTTTTTGGGGGGAGGGAGCAGGGGTGGGGTGGGTGGGTTAGTTGTGGGGCTTGAACTCTGGGCCTGGGTGCTGTCCCTCAGCTTTTTAGCTAAGGGATAATGCTCTAGCCACAGCACCACTTCCTGTTTTCTGGGGTTTATTGAAGATAAAAGTTTCATGGATTTTCCTGCCTGGAGTTGCTTTGAACCATGATCCTCAGATCTCAGCCTACTCAGTAACTAGGATTACAGTCTTGAGCCACCAGCGCCCAGCTGAAGGTAAATCTTTGTAATACCTTTCTCTCACTGTATGCCTGGAGTCAGTCCACAAAGATGAAGCTACCAAGTTTTATGCCATGTATTATTTTAAAAGTATGGAAGTGTTTTTATTAAAAGGCAAGTTCAGTAATATAGCAATACCAGAGGCTGTAAGAAGAGACACTCTGTTCATATCTTAACACATCTATTCACTGGAGTTTCTGTCATTACTTAAATTCAGTACACAATGGATAGCATCTTCTACTCAATCTCCTTAATTATAAGTGTAGAGATCTTCAAATGCCTGGAATTACCACAAGTATCAGCATCAGCATCCCTAAGTCCATGTAGGATGTGGAGCATTTCATGACATGTAACAACAAATACAGATGGGCAGAAGTGTGTTAAGATGGGTGTGTTAGATTGCCAGCTCCTTAAGATAGCAAAAGCTCTTTTACACAAGAAGGTTTTTCTGTCTCAAAAAGCAAAACATTTTTCAGGTCCCAAAGAGTCAATCTCACAAAATAACAAAAGCCTGGGAAATTTTTAAGTAATATTTCTATTCTCCCTTTTTATACTCAGGAATTATTTGAACTGTATTGTATTGAAGATGGTCAGATCTTCAGGCATATT